AACATTTCCGGCTCGAGCGCGCCCTGGGACTTTCCCCAACCTGGGCTCCAGCCGAGCTGGTGCCTGTGCGGGGTGCAGCGGCGGGGGCAGGGAGCAAGCGGAGGCCCAGGGCCGCCCAACTCTGGCTCCGGAGCCATGGTGCCCTCTGGCGGCCGTGTCGGGCATGGCGGGGCATTCTGGGGGCGGGGCTTAGCTCCCGGCTGGGGCGTGGTCCCCGGGCTGGCTGCGGAGGTTTCGCAAGGACAAAGACCTTAAGGAGAAAGGAGAAGGAAAAAAAAAAAAAAAAAAAATCCCCGCTGTGGTTGCCAGTCGAGGCTAGCGAGTTGAACTAGTCCTCCGAAGCCCGGGAGGGGCATGGGAGGCGCTGGGGGCCGAAACGTCCAGACCTGTGACTCTCAGTGCCCCTCCAGTACTGCGCCACCGCGCCCTGCGCCCCGGGCACCCAAAGAGGCCTGAGCTCGCACCCGGATTGCGTCTCCCGTCCCGTGTCCCGGCCTGCCATGGGCGCGACGTCACTCGGCCGGGAGTGGGAGTTGGCGGAAGGAGACCGCTGTCTCCGCCCCTTTCCCTCCTCCAGGGGCAGAAATGAGGTCGCTGGCCCAACATCCCCCACGGAGCTGGCGATAACGTTGGAAGGTTGCAAGCGAGAAGACAAAGGGAGTGTGGTTTGCGAATAAAGAAAAGAGAGCTGGGGGTTCTAGCCAGAGACTGGGTCCACCCAAGGTCGTTTAGGAGTGCGTGGCCAGAAGCGGAGTGGCTGCCTCGCTCCTCCCATGCTGTTCGCCTCAAGTAGGCAGCGAGGGTGGGGGGAGCTGGCCACAGGGGCGAAGTGTGTCCCTGTCTTGCTATTGGGAGGCGGGAGAACTTGAAGAATGAGGGGTCTGGACAAAATTATGGAAAATGTGTCATGCACCATATAAGGCACGGGAACTGAGAGCATCTGTCACCATCTATCTCTGACATCATCTAGTGAGGCAGAGCCAGGGGCCAAGTTGTCACTCACTCCGGTTCTCGTTCTACAGCTCTGCTCCCTCACAAATGCTCACATGGACTTCAAATGGCTGCAGCAAATATTTGTGCTCTTCTGCGCCTTTGACAGTCTGCCGGCTACAGTTTGGGGGACATGGGGCAAGAGGAACATTAGCGCTGCATACCACATGTCTCAAAATTTAAAACGTGGGGCTGGTGTTGTGGGGCAGCAGGTTGGGCTGCTTGCTGTCCAACTGTAGTCCCAGCTCCTCCACTTCTGATCCAGCTCCCTGCTAATGTGCCTGGGAAAGCAGGGGAAGATGGCCCAAGTGCTAGGGCCCCTGCACCCACGTGGGAGACCTGGAAGAAGCTCCTGGCTCCTGGTTTTCGATTGGCTCAGCTCCAGCCATTGTGGCCTCTTGGGGAGTGAACCAGCAGATGGAAGACGTCTCTCTCTCTGTCTCTCCCTGTCTCTGCCTGTTACTCTACCTCTCAAGTAAATAAAATATTTTTAAAAAGTCTTTAAAAGGGATTTATTTATGTTATTTATTTGAAAGGCAGAGATACAGAGATGGAAGGGGAGAGAGACAGAAAGACCGACCTTCCATCCGCTGGTTCACTCCCCAAATGGCCACAAAGGCAGGGACTGGGCCAGGCCAAAGCCAGGAACCAGGAGCCTCCTCCTGGTCTCCCACATGGATGCAGGGACTCAAGCACTTGGGCCATCTTCCGCTGCTTTCCCAGGCCACAGCAGAGAGCTGGATCGGAAGTGGAGCAGCTGGGACTTGAACCAGAACCCATATGGGATGCTGACCTCACAGGTGACAACTTTACCTGCTACACTACAGTGATGGCCCCATTCTGCTTCTCCTTCTCCTCTTCCTCCTCCTCCTCCTCCTTCTTCGTCTTCTGCTTTTATATATTTGAAAGGCAGAGCAAGAGAGAGAGAGAGAGAGACCTTCCATCTGTTGGTTCACTCCCCAAATGGCTGCAGCAGCCAGATATCAGCCAGTTTTGAAGGAGCCCAGAACTGTATCTAGATCTCCAGCCATCTTCTGCTGCCTTCCCAGGCACGTTAGCGGAGAGCTGGATCAGAAGTGGAGTATGGGCTGGCGCTGTGGTGTAGTGGGTAAACTCGCTGTCTGCAGTGCCGGCATCCCATATGGGTGCCAATTCGAGACCCGGCTGCTCCACTTCCGATCCAGCTCTCTGCTGTGGCCTGGGAAAGCAGTAGAAGATGGCCCGAGTGCTTGGGCCCCTGCACCTGCATGGGAGACCCGGAAGAAGCTCCTGGCTCCTGGCTTCAGATTGGCCCAGCTCCAGCTGTTGTGGCCGTCTGGGGAGTGAAAGAGCAGATGGAAGACCTCTCTGTCTTTTTGTCTCTGCCTCTGCCGCTCTGTAACTCTGTATTTCAAATAAATAATCTTAAAAAAAAAAAAAAAGTGGAGCAGCTGGGACTCAAACTAGCACTGGGATATGGGATGTGGATGGTGCACTTGATGGCTTAACCTGCTGCATCACGAGCTGGAAAGTTCTCTGTAGGAGTCAGTGCGTCAGTTTCACTTTGCTGGGCAGTCAGAGGATGCTGATGAATTGACAGCTGCTCATCTTCAGCCCTGAACCCAGGGAGAAACAGCCCAGCTCCCCGCTCCAGAGTGCGGAGAACGCCAATGTGTGTTATTCAGGATGAAGCTCCAGGTGCCCCCAGTGGTGACTTAACTGACAGCATCCTGTGTTTCCATTTGCTTTCCCGTGGGTGGTGGTGGTGATGGGGGAGGGGGCGGGACCCACACTAAGGATAAGGGCATTTCCTGTTGCAGCTTCTGGTCCAAGTTTCCCAGGGTCTTTGTGGGGGAGTTTGCCTCGGCTGCCTCTCCTTGAATGAGCTGGGCTGCTTTCCTTTGTTTCATTCAGAGTCAGGCTAAACACGCCCGAGCCTTCGCCCCTGCACAGTGGCCCAGTTTCCGTGTGACGTGCATGTGCGTGTGAAGCGAGGGTGTGCGGTGACAACGGCTGCTTTGGGATACTGGGTCCCCGCTGGTTGCCCCAAACCAGTGTAGCAGAAATTACCAAGAGATATGAGGGCTTTCCTTGCCTCTGTTAACAAAGCTTTTCCTTCCTTCCTTCCTTTCTTCCTTCCTTCCTTCCTTCCTTCCTTCCCTCCTTTCTCTCTTTCTCTCTTTCTCTCTTTCTTTCCTTCTCTTCCTTCCTTCCTTTTATATATATATTTGTTTATTTGAGAGGTAGACTTACAGACAGAGAGATGGAGAGAGAGGTTTTCTATCCACTGGTTCACTCCCCAAATGGTCGCAGTGGCCGGAGCTGTGCCAATCCGAAGCCAGGAGTCAGGAGCTTCTTCCAGGTCTCCCATGTGCGTGCAGGGGCCTGAAGACCTGGGCCATCTTCTACTGCTGTCTCAGGCCATAGCAGAGAGCAGGATCAGAAGTGGAGCAGCCAGGACTCAAACCAGTGCCCACATAGGATGCCGGTGCTGCAGGCAGAAGCTTAGCCCACTACGTCACAGGCCGGCCCCCCTTCTCCTATCTTGATCTTTGGTTACCAGGGATGTTTGCTTGGGGACATATCAGTCAGTCGCAACCCTCCTCCCCTTGCTTTCCTTCTTCCTGGGGCAAGGTGTTGACGATGAGGCCCATTGGGAGTCAGAGGAACGGGCAGGCCCAGGGGACATGGGCCCTTTCCTTTCTCCCTTGAGCGGCTCTGATCACTCCCTACTTCCACTTGGCAGAAATGGTTGATCTCGCAGGTAGAGGTCTGCCCCAGTGAGATCCTTGGGCTGGAGCTCCAGGTGCGCTGGGGTGGAGGAGACCAAAGGCAAGGTTGAGCCCGCAGGCTGCAGACAAGGGTCGTAGGTTACAGCCAGGCTGCCTCTCCCAGCCGTGACTCAGCCTCCAGGCTTCTACCGGGGGAGCGGCGGGTACGAGAAAGCCTCCAACACTGGTGGAGACAAAGAAGAGTGCTGGCCACCTCTCCCTTTTCAGGGTGAGCCCTCCCTGGGGACAGGGGCTTCATCGGGGGGCTTCCTCTGCCTGTCTCCCCATCCCAGCCCCTGGATTGTTTCCTTCCTAGCAGAGGTTAATTCGGCCGCATTGTGGCTCTTGAGACCCAAATGGGAGAAAATGAACACCCACGCACCCACCGCGAGGGCGCTGTCGCCTCTGATGTGTAGATTCCCACCCAGAGCCCTTGTTCTAGGAAGGCAGCTCCAGGCTGCCTTCCACCAGCGCTGGTGCACCGTGTTCGGCGTGGCCAGAACTTGGTAATTTGCCTTGGGTACCTGGAAGCGCTGTCTCACCCTGCACCCAGGCCTGATAGATCTGCTGGGGTGGGGAGAATGAGGGGCACCTGAACTGCTGGCCAGAAGAACCACAGACATAGGCCCTCCTGCTGCTCTCCACCTGGGTCGGACTCCGGAAACCAGGGCTTGCCAAATGTTAAAGGCTTAGAGATTTCCCCACCCCCATCAGCCCAACCCGTCTTATTAAAAATGCGCATGCTCATACCAGAGGGTGCTGGCGCTCTGCATTGCCAACCAGCACCCAGGTGCTACTGCTGGTCCACTGGCCGCAGTCTGAGCGGCTAGGGTCTAAACTCAGTGCTGGTGGGTTTGCGAAAGCTCAGCCCAGCTGTGAACGTAGCCGCCCCGGGGAACTTTGGCCATGGCCGCAGCAGCCACAAGCGCCAAGCCAGGCCTCTAGTTGATTGGCATGGGGGAGAGCCACCTGCATGGTGTGTGCTTTGAGGTCATCTGCCATCAGCCACCCCGCAGCAAGGAGGTCGGCAGCCTACATTTCTGGAAAACATCATGAATTTAAGCTGCCCTGAACCTTCTCCAGCTCTCTAAGTTACATAACGCGTCCTTGCTGAGAATGCTGTTTGGGTGGCAGGAAGCCAATTTCTGGCTGCCTATTGCTGGCGGCTGGGGCTGGGGTCAGGGAAGGGGACAGGGAGGGTCTGGGGGAGGGTTTAAAGAGGGAAAGGGCCAGGCAGATGGAGAGGGCAGGAGGACCAGGGTGGCCGAGGCCTGGGGATAAAGCCGATTGGTGTGTAAGCAAAATCTGTCACTGGCTTTGGTGATTCGAAAGGCAGACACATTTTTTTCATCCCTGTTAAGCCTCATCTGATACAGGGGATTTTCCTGCCATTAAATCTGGAGTAAGAAAAATAAGCGCTCGAACCTGCACGAGCGACTATTCCTCTTGCTCCCTGTACCCTGCCCCCAGCTCCCCTCCACACACCTTTCCTTCCCTGTTGGACCACTTGTAGTCTCTGTGGCTGCCTGACTTGGGAGATGGATGGCCTGAGACAACCGAGACAGGACCAGGCGGCCTCCCCGGAGGGTAAGCAATGCTGCGGGGCTGTTGAGGAGCGCTCTCGCCAGAGGCTTCCTCTCCCCTCTCCTGCCCTTGGCTGGCTCCCTGGCTGTCGGTGATGCCATCTGAGTTGCTGTCGACTTGGTGGGGAGAGCCTCCGGTGGGCTGTTGTTACTTACTGGCTCCTCCGAACCCCTCAGCCAGCATCACTGGGGACGACAGGATGTGAAGAGACGAGAAGGAAGGCAGGAGCATGAGGACGAAGTGTGCAGGTGTGGGCGGGTTCTCAGGGGCACCAGGTGACCTGTGCTTTGTTGTCTCAGGTACAGATGCCACAGCCGGGTGGCTCTAAGCCAGCAAGGCGCGTGACAGGCAGAGGGATGCTGGTCCTGCTTCTGCATGGTGAGTTCTGTTGCTAGTGGGTGCAGGGCTTGGGAAGACGCGTGGAAGCCACGGGCTTCTACCCACAAAGCCTGCTTCTGTGACTTTCAGTGAGCAGAGAACCAGAGAAAGGAGCAGGTGGAGGGATTATTCTTGTTTGTTGTTGAAAAACAAGACTCCCAAACCCATGATATGATTGGTGATTTTCTTATTCAAATTTCAAATAGGAATTGATTGGTGTGATAACCCCAAACCACATTATTTTAAGTTCATTTGGTTAAAAAAAGAAACAAAAAATCCCTTAAAGAGATCATCTTTTTAAAGGGAAAAGGAAAAGTGAAAAATAAGTTGAGATTGTGGAATCATGGATGTTTAAAATAAAATTTTTAAAAGATTTATTTGTTTATTTGAGACGGGGGCAGGGGTGTCTTCCATCTGCCAGTTCACTCCTCCAAATGGCTGCAATGGCCAGAGTTGGGCTGATCTGAAGCCAGGAGCCAGGTGCTTCCTCCAGGTCTCCTATGTGGGTGCAGGGAACCAAGCACTTGGGTCATCCTCTGTTGTTTCCTATCCAAGTACAAACCAGGCCTGACCTTGCTTAGCTTACGAGATCAGGCGTGTTCAGGGTGGGCCAGGCTGAAGCCAGAAGCCAGAAGCTTCTTCCAGGTCTCTGATGTGGGTGCCAGGGCCCAAGGACTTGGGTCATCCTCTACTGCTTTCCCAGGCCATTAGCAGGGAGCTGGATCAGAAGTGGAGCAGCTGGGACTTGAGCCGGCGCCTACATGGGATGCCAGTGCCGCAGGTGGAGGCTTAACCTACTATGCCACAGTGCTGGTCCCTAAAATTCTTTTCAAAGTTTTTTTTTAATCCTTTTGTTATATGCATTTAATTTTTTAAAAGATTGTATTTATTTATTTGAGAGGCAGAGTTACAGAGAAAGAGAGAGAGAGAGAGAGAAAGGTCTTCCATCTGCTGGTTCACTCCCCAGATGGCCGGTACAGCCAAAGCTGCGCTGATCCTAAACCAGGAGCCAGGAGCTTCTTCCGGGTCTCCCACGTGGGTGCAGGGACTCAAGCACTTGGGCCATCTTCCACTGCTTTCCCAGGCATATTAACAAGGAGCTGGATCAGAAGTGGAACATCCGGGACTTGAACCGGCGCCCATATGGGATGCTGGCATTGCAGGCGGAGGCTTAGCCTACTGTGCCACAGTGCCAGCCCTAACATGCATTTTAATATACCAGGGAAACTCACTGCAACATATTCTCCCCAGCTCCGGCTGCTCAAATCTACCTGAGATAGCCCAAAGAAACATCCTTGTTGCTTTTTTTTTTTCCCCACTAAACAATTCTATGCAAAGAATATTTTTCTGACGCTGGGTGAGTTTAATTATTTGAGGTTGTGATGACCTCTGTATGCGTTGCTGGTAGAGAAATTTTGCCAGCTCATTCTCAAATAGCACTAATAGAATCTTCTGCTTCTCTTTATTGCATCTTTTTTAAAAAAATAGAACTTGCTCAGTTCAACCAATCAGCCACCAGGTATACGCTGTGTGCCTTTACTACTCTCCAGGGATGTTATGAGGATTATAACTGTGTGGTCTTTGTCCTTGAGAAACTTACATTCTTTTATGGCAGGTGTAATAAATAGATGAGGAAAAAATTGGAACAAGGCATAAGGAACACTGTGATAAGTAGGACGCGACTTCCTAGCTCAAGGATCCACTAAAAGGACAGAGGTTGACATTTAGATAATTACCAGCAGCCAACTTCTTGCCATTTCTCCTACCTAGAGAGGATGTGAAGCTTGATTGACTCATTGGGACAGAATGTTTGCTTCCTAGACTCATTATTTGAAACCCGCACCAAAAGCTCTACCGTTCTTCACGGCATGCAGACAGTGCTCAGAGCCGGCACGCTGCAAAAGCAGGAGCTGTCCCTGCTACAGGAACCTGAAATACAGCCAGCCTTTTGTGACAAGCCCCAGAGCACAGCGGTGACATCATTCGCTAACAATAGCTGCATTTAAAATTAATGAACATCTCCACAGCCCCTGGTGCTTTCATTTCAAACACACTCTAACAGGGCAGAGAATAATTCTCTGAGAGTCACAAGGAATACGGACAACTTGCTCCTGAGTAGCGGGCATGGCTGGGTGCTCTACCTCCTTAACTAAATGAGCCTCACAAAACAAGGCTGTGGGGGAGTCAGAAGTGGCTCACAGCTGGAGAAACTGGGGGCAAGATCAAAACAGCAGTTCTCCCGCTCCGGACACAGGCACACACAGACGCGCTGGTCTCCCAGAAGTGCTTCTCCCTTCTTAGTGCAGATTCCTCCACCTTAATCATTTACCTTGCTTTACAGGCCCTCACATCTGGCTTGCTCTACAGAGTGAGTCTTTTTTTTTTTTCTTTAAGATTTATTTATTTGAAAGGCAGAGTTACGGAGAGGCAGAGAGAGAGAGAGAGAGAGAGAGATGTCTTCTGTCCTCTGGTTCACTCTCCAGATGGCCACAACAGCTGGAGCTTGGCCAATCCAAAGCCAGGTGCCTGGAGCTTCCTCTGGGTCTCCCGTGTGGGTGCAGGGCCCCAAGGACTTGAGCCATCTTCTACTGCTTTTCCAGGCCATAGCAGAGAGCTGGATTGGAAGTGGAGCAGCTGGGACTTGAACTGGCTCCCATATGGGATGCCGGCACTGCAGGTGGTGGCTTTACCCACCACGCCACAGCACCAGCCCCAGACTGTGATGTTTTTGAAAAAAATAATTTTATTTACTTTCATTTCATTTGAAAGGCAAAGAGACAGAGAGAGGAGACACACACACACACACACACACACAGATATCTTCCATCTGCTGGTTCACTCTCCCAGATGCCTGCAACAGCTGGGGCTAGGCCAGGCCAAAGCCAAGAGCCAGAAACTCCATCTGGGTCTCCCACTTGGGTGGCAGGGGCTCAAGCATTTGGTCATCTTCCACTGCCTTCCCCGGTGCCTTAGCAGGGAGCTGGATTGAAAGTCGAGCAGCCGGGACTCGAACCAGGCACTGCAATGTGGGACATGGGCACTCTGAGTGGCATCTTACCTGCTGTGCCAATGCCCACCTCTATGCTGTGGGTCTTTAAAGAGAATCTGGATTTGTGTTTTATTCACCTTGCTGTCTTAGAGTCTGAGGTATGAATTCTGTGTGTAGTTTTTTCATAATACACACATTTCCATTAACTTTTTGAACACCCATCTATCACCCATCTATGCACAGGCTTCAAAAATTTTTGCAAAAATTTAACAGACACATAAAGTTGTACATACTTATGGGGTCCTGTGTGATGTTTCGTTACATGTATCATTGTGTAATGTCCAATCAGGCAAACATATATTTTTCCTTTCAAGTATTTAACATTTCTTTATAGGGGGAACATCCCCAAATCCTATCATCTAGGGTTTTTTTTTTTTTTTTTGACAGGCAGAGTGGACAGTGAGAGAGACAGAGAGACAGCGAGAAAGGTCTTCCTTTGCCGTTGATTCACCCTCCAATGGCCGCCGTGGCCAGTGCGCTGCAGCTGGCACACCACGCTGATCCGAAGGCAGGAGCCAGGTGCTTCTCCTGGTCTCCCATGGGGTGCAGGGCCCAAGCACTTGGGCCATCCTCCACTGCACTCCCTGGCCACAGCAGAGAGCTGGCCTGGAAGAAGGGCAACCGGGACAGAATCCGGTGCCTGACAGGGACTAGAGCCCGGTGTGCTGGCGCTGCAAGGTGGAGGATTAGCCTACTGAGCCGCGGCGCCGGCCTCATCTAGTTTTTAAATAGTGAAATATACAGTAAATTGACATTCTCTGTCTCACAGAGACATTTTCTGTCTCTGCAATAGAACTCCAGAACTTCTTACTCCTAGCTACTTGTAACCTAGTACTGTCAATCCACATTCTCCAATCTCTCCCTCCCCAGCCTCTGGTACCCACAGTTGTATTTTTCTATATAACTGAGATCACCTCTTTCTCCCTCCCTCCCTCCCTTCCTCCTTTCCTTCCTTCCTTCCTTAACTCCACATAGGAGTGAGACCATGTGAAACTTGTCTTCCTGTGCTTGGCTTCTTTCACTTAATTTAATGACCCCAGTTCCATCCATATCATTGCAGATGGCAAGATTTCATCCTTTCTAATGGTTAAGTAGTGCCCCATGGTGTAATGTGCCACATTCTTTTTTCATCCATTCATTAGTGGGTGGACACTCAGGTTTCCATTTCTCAACTATTGTGAACAGTGCTGCAATAAACATGGGAGTGCAGATGCCTCTTTGACAGATGGATTTCATTTCCCTTGGGTACATACCAAGAAGTGGGATTGCTGGATCATATGGTAGTTCTATTTTAGGTTCTTGAGGAACATCCATGCTGTTTTCCATAATGGCTGTACTAATTTACATTCCCATAACAGTGTGCAAGGTTTCCTTTTTTTCCACATCCTTGCCAACACTTGTTATCTTGTCTTTTTGATAATAGTCAATGTTACTGGAGTGAGGTGATACCTCATTGTGGTTTTGATTTGTGACGTGGTGCATCCTTTTACCTATCTGTTGGCCACTTGTATGTCTTTCTTTGAGAAATGTCTGTTTAGATCTATTGCCCATTTTTAATTGGACTGCTTTTTTTTTTTCTTTGCTGTTGAGGATAGTTCTTTATCTATTCTAGATATTAACTCCTCGTCAGGGTTTAACTTGTTTAACTTGCAAATATTTTCTTTAGGTTGTCTCTTTGCTCTGTTGATTGCTTTGCTGTGCAAAAGCCCTTTAGCTCGATGAAATCCCATTGGCCTGTTTTTGCTTTTATTTCCTTTGTTTGTTGGGGGTCTCATCCAGAAATCCTTGCCCATTCCAAGGATTTCCCTATCTTTTCCTCTAATAGCCCAAAGTTTCAGGTCTCACATTTAGGTCTCTAATCCATTTTGCGCTGATTTTTGTCAATGGTGATAGATAAGCATCTAGTTTCATTCTTAAGCACCATTTGTTAAAAAGACTGCTTTTCCCCCCA